GTGTGCCCCGACTTTCAGCAACAGCTCAAGTACAAGTTTCAACCATCTCCGTCGTCGTTGGCCGTTTTGCTCGTGCCCGGTGTCCGTGGACCTGTCGACGTTTCTCTCTCCGTTACATGTTCTTGATTTGCGGTTGTCCGCCTCGAGTAACTTGAGCTCTGCCTCCTCGCTCTTTCTCCTTCCCCTCATCTATGCACAAGACGCCGCCACTGTGACCCGCCCCACTCCGGTTTCCACACGCCACCACCGTGAACCAAGTCCATTGCCAAGTCTCTGCCATGTTTTCCTATCTCGCACCCACTCGCACAAGGTGTCATGGTCTCATCGAAACAAGTCTTGGTTTGTTTCCGTCCCGCATACCCGCTCATGCATTCGAGTCGCCGTCTCGGGGTCTGCTAACCAACATTGCCCTTGCGCCATCGGTCGCTGGGCACTCTTTTGTGTGTCTCCCTCTATCAACATTCCATTCTCTGCCGTTTTTGCGTCTTGTTGTGCTTGTCATTCGCCTCTTTCATTTTCACTTCCCTTCATCAGGTCGCAACCAGCCATCGTATGTCTGTCAATGTTTTCCGTTTCATCCTGTGCTTCCTTTCTTCCCTTCTTCATCCTCTTGGTTACACGAAACCTCTGGTGTGCTGTGCGCTTGCATTTTTTTCTTTCCTATTTTCTCAGGTTCTGCAATACACATCTGTTGCCAGCACGACAACTAAATGCACTGCTGTGCTCCTTGTGTAAGCTCTGCCTTGATCTCCTTCCTACCACTTTGAACATCAGTTGACAAGGCATGATGTTGCATAACTGGTTCGCGACCAAGGCTGAGTGAAAACAAGAGAATAATATATATACACATGACGCTGGATTCACGAGAGAGAGAGGAAGAAACAGTACAACAATCATTATGGGAGAAGGAAATGAGAACTTCACGCCGACACCATCCTGATTTCGTCTATGCACGTCCTTGAGACTATCTCCACGTCCTCATTCGACCACGACGTCGCAGGAGCTCGTTCAGCGAATCATCTTTGCCTCCCACTCTGCCGTCGGCACGGACCCACCGCTCACCTCGACTTGTCCGCCTCCATACCTGCCCAAATGTCTCAAATGCCGCTGGCGCTCTGCCCTCGCGACCGCTTGCACATCCTCCCAATGGACGTGTGCCGCGTATGGATCCTTGCGCACCAAGTCCATGACGGTCATGTCTCCGGGATGTGGCATGCCACCATTGTCTGTGGACGTGGACGCCGTGGGCGACAGGGGCGAGTCCACGTGGTGCGTGTAGGCGCCCATGGACGGCAGCGCGTACGAATTGTGGGTGGACGATGACGAAAGTGGCGAGAGCGGCACTTCGGGCAGCATGGACATGGCGCCGCTGATGGTGCGCAGGTTGGAGTGGAAGGGCTGGTCGTTGGGTTGGTGGGATTGCGCCATGGGGCGACGCCGAAAGTGGGAAAAGCTATTGTTGGTTGTGTTGAAATTGGACGGCGCGGACCGACTGGTCACGCCTGATGATGGAGACAGTGGCGGCAGGTGGGAAAGGAACGCGTCGAGTGCGTCAAGGTTGGACGACAGGAATGGGTTGAGGCCAATGGGGACTTCTTCATCGTCCGCGCCGGTCGCAGTGGTGGTGTGCGAAGCCGAAGCGGTATTGGGTTGAGGACGGACATTGCGGCGAGGCACACGAAGGTGAGGGTCGATGGAGAGCGGAATTGGCGGCGTCCAAGTGTTGCCGCCGTCTCCATCAATCGATTCATTGTCCTCTTCGGGGTCCGACGGGACGCCAACCCAGGCTTCGCGATACGTCCGGGGCTCGCCCTCAACGGCATGACCAAGTCTCAACATCGTCTCCATGTCATCGTCCAACAGCGTCCGAGACTCTTCGCGAGACATTGTTCCCACGAGCTCGGGCGACAGCGGCACTTGCAGGCGGTGAGCAAGCGCGTCAAAGTTGTCAGAGTTAAATAGGGCCAGCAAGGAGCTCGGCGGGGCGGTCCTCGGGCGGGCAAACGGGCCAGGCGGACCATCGGTTTGACTTGGGCTGTTGTTCATTTCGAAACGGGATGAATTGACCGCTGTCCAGGTGGCCACGTCGGCGTCGTCAGGGAGATGACCAGATGTCGGAGGCGTGGGCGAGTGTTGAGCAAGGACGTCGACAGCAGTTGGTGCCGAGAAAATGTATGGGACTGTGTCAAACAGGTTAATGTAGGCTTCGTCAGGCAGTGGCGACTGGCTCGAGCGCGGTTGAGAATCGAGTCAATCTCGGCTGAATTGGACGACTCGGTGTGTCCAAAGTGGGTGTAGTGTTGAGAGAGGAGATAGCGTGCGGAAGGATAGCCGAAGGTCATGGTGAAAAGGTCTGAGAGTGAAGGTTTAGTTGAAGCAGAAGGAGATGACAACAGGCGTGCTTTTCATCGACTTTATTGTCGTTGTTGTTCGCCGGCGGGCCGGCAAGCCCACCACATATTCCAGCAGACGAGTCAGGGACACGTTTCTGCAACTGAGAACTGCAGAGATGATGTCCGAGCGCCGATGACTTACTCGCACACAGTGGTACCACTGGTAAGCTGGGCAGGAGGCAACGATGTGGTGCAGTGTATCACAACAGATATGTCCGGGAATGGGTGCTCCAAAAGTCGTGTCCGCATTCACATGCACTGCCTTGACGCGTTCATTGCGCGCCAAGTGTTTGTCAAATCTGCCACAGTGGCATCGAGTTGTATCCATCAACCATCTGGGAACATGTGAAACAAACGCCCCTCAGCTCTACGCAATAGAATGAATTCCAACCTGGCCAACGGAATCGCGCCGCTGCAGCCCACATCGTCACAGGTAGAGCTGGCCACGGAGGCGACAGACTCCTTTACCGATCATGCTTCAACATCCCTGCACCTGAATCGGACGACGAGTCGTTCAATAGTACATTCCGCTTCTGCCTCTCTCCCTAGGCGTAGGATACCTATACCTGAACACGATATAGCTGATATTGCAAGTCCGAGTGCTGGTCCTTCCCCTCAAGCGTCGCGACGCAACAGCGCCTCCGACCTTGCCTCCCCGCCTTCCGCTTGGACAAGCACCATTGCAATCAACAGTGGAGGAGGTCGATCAGCAGAGTCGGTTCTGCATTACTTGCGCCGAAGCTATCTCAACTGTGTCATTCTCGACGTCCAAGCGGGTTCTCCTTCCGATCACCGTGCCCGGCCAGCCATACTCGGTGCCGTGTTGAAGCGCGATTTCTTCCAGCACCGGGCGTTTCGCTGGTTTTCCATCTCAAAGGGGCATGGCTCGTCGTCTTCATCCGCTACCACAGCATCCAAGAAGGCCCAACTAACGCATGATGTCGTCTTTCTCACGAGTGGTGTCGTTGAACGCATCAACCAACTCCCACAGCGGCCGGTCGTGATTGCGTACGATGAAAATGGTGACAGGGACGACGCAGCGGGCCGGCTTGTGCGCACTCTCAAGACGGTCGATAAGGACGTCATGGCCTGCTACCTTCGTGGGGGCATTTCGTCATTTGTACAACGCTTTCCGTATTTCACGGACCCGCGCCCAGACGCCTGTCAGCTTGTGCCGGATTTGTCTGCACCAGACGCGCCAGAAGGACCGCGACTTCGCAGATACCAAGCGGCCATTTTGTCGGGAAATGACGTGGAGCCGTCGCTCATTTTGACACGGGACTGGACAGCCATTTCCAAGTCAAAAGCTCGGTTTCCTTTGGGTGCAACCTCTGCTTCGCCACCCTGGTTTGTCGTGAGTCCGTTACCAACTCCTAGTGAGAGTAGCGTTAGCATGGCCTCCTCGGCAGCAGCACCAAATCCACCTTCAGAAGGTGTATCGGCCGAACAGCTGGCAGTTCCCACAGCTTCCCCTTCGAGCAGTGCCTCGACTGCAACCTCAGACGACAATATTCCCGAACCAACTTCCAATGCACCTTTTCTCTTTCTCTCCGGAATGAATGGCGCTGCTGAGCGGTACATTACACAGCACAAGATTACGCATGTTCTCAACGTGACGCACCATCAGCACATGTCGTCATTCAATCACGTCGAATACTTGCGAATCGCCATTGACGATGCTCCAAAGGTCAACATTGCCGAGTTTTTTGATGTTGCTACTGCTTTCATCGACAGTGCTCGCAAGCGACCGGATGGCCGGATCCTTGTCCATTGTTATGCTGGCGTCTCCCGTTCCGTTTCGATGGTGCTTGCGTATTTGATTCGGTTCCACGAGTGCACATTGCTGCAGGCGTTTGATGTCGTGTACCGAAATCGGCCAGTCGCACAGCCAAATGAAGGTTTTGCTCGCAAATTGCAAAAGTATGAGATGGCATGTCGCAAGACGACACATCCATCGGTTGCTTATGGATGGCTGAGTGCATCAAATACGGCGTATCTGGACTTTATCGAGGTACTTACACAAGCTTGCTGGATGCATCCATCCGCGATTCTCACCTAAGCATGCAAGGCTGACGTGGGAATGCACATCTTTCTCTTCGTGTTTATAGTTTGTCGAGGGATACGACGAGCTCCACCGCCGCGCCGTGTTTCGCCATCACCCAAACGCATCCATCGTGCCGTCCGCAGTTGGCTCCAACTCAAGCATATCCAATGTGTCAGCAACGTCCCCGGGCTCATCTATCAACACTTTGGAATCGCCATCGTCGCCAGCAGTCACACCTGGGCAATCCAATCGCCGTTACTCGGCTGGGACGAGCGTCACTGGTTCGGTCGAGCAGGCATTGACACCTGTATCAACGGGCAAAAGTCGGTCACGAAGCGGGTCCGTTGATCATGGCACCCTGGCGGCGGCAGCAGTCTCAAGCACCAAGCAGACAAAGACCAGAATGATTTTGGCTGGGATGTATAATGCGTCGCAATCAAAACGTCGGAATCGAGGACCTACCATGTAAATACAATCAATGCTACGCCCAATCGCAGAGTCTCGACACTTGTTCTTTTCAAACACTTTTAATCTTGACCAGATATCCTAAGTTTTTTCATCATGTTCCCTTGGTCTAGTGGTCATGACGTCAGCTTTACACGCTGAAAATCCGCGGTTCGAACCCGCGAGGGAACAGTTGACATAAGTGAGCGCTTTTGTTGCCATTCTTTTGGAGAAAATGAAAGTGCGCAGACAGCAGCGCTGAAACCCGACAGCGCAGTCAGAAAGAAGACAGCGGAACAGCGCCTGAAGGCAGTCCCTGCCTGGCCTTGGCAAGCTGAAGACAAGGGTTCAAGACAGTCCTTGGGACTCTGCTTTACCACTCTGCATGGGTGTCTTTGGAGGCAAGCGCCGCATTTATCGGTTGGACTTTCATGTTGGAAGCTGTCAATGGCAGATCCAACAGTTTCTGTAACGCTCTTGTTCCGTGCAAGAAGCGACGAACTCATGCATGATCCATTTGTGGATGTATTGTGATGGGAAACAAGTACCGCCACACACGACAAAAAGACATGAATCCGAGGCAGAGCGTGTAGGTGGGACAAGACTGTATATGGCCAGGAAGGAAATGCACGGGATTGTCAGGATCATGACAAAGGCAAAATCACGAGCGTGGCCACGAGCAGACAGCACAAACATACAAGTAACGAGAGCCCAAGGGAGCTTACTTCTTCTTGGCAACACCAACGGTCTTACCACGACGGCCAGTCGTCTTGGTGTGCTGACCGCGGACACGGATCCCCACCAGTGACGGAGACCACGGTGGACGCGGATCTTCTTGAGGCGCTCGAGATCCTCACGGAGGTTGTTGTCAACAGCGTTGGACACGTTCTGGGCGTACTCACCGGTACGGATGTCCTTTTGCCTGTTAAGGAAGAACTTGGGGATCTTGAATTGAAGGGGGTTTTGGATGATGGTCACAATGCGCTCGAGTTCCTCGGCGGTAATGTCACCAGCGCTGTACGGTATGAGTTGGGTCGAGAGAACGGTTTGATGAATCGTCGGGTGATGGTGCGTCGAGTTGAGAGTGGGCGGAAAAATACAGTGACGTAGGAGGACAGAGGGCGCAAGTGACAGGACGAGATGACAGGTAAACGGGTCAGAAATCGTGCCCAGTGAGATTTGGGTGTGAAAGAAAAATGCATACCGCTTGTTGGTATCAACCTCAGCCTTCTTGCACACAAGGTTGGCGTAGCGACGACCAACACCCTTAATGGCGGTAAGGGCGTACATGATCTTTTGCTTGCCCTCCAAGTTGGTGTTGAGCACACGCAAGATGTACGAGAAGGAGCCCTTTTCCGAAATGACGAGCGACTATTTTGGGGGTTGCGGCAGTCGGTCAGCGTGGGTATCACTCACAAACAATCACTTGAGCAGCAGAAACAAGCGACGGTAGCGACAGCGACGGCGGCGGCATTCTGGGACGCAAGACGCTCATCCAAAGCTCGTATGACTGCCCAACCGAGTCCAAATTCGAGGCGGATGGGTCCAACGAGCGCAGATTCAAGTAGGTTAGGTTGCCTGAGTCCAGCGTGAATCGCATTTGAGACAAATGGACATGGGTTTGAGGAGTTCGGAGATGTTGGAGTCATTTGCGGGTGGCCTGGGATTTGGAGCCAGTGAAAGGACTTCGGTCGGCCAGCCGTCGCGGTCGCGGTCGCTTTCGCTGTACATGGATACAAGGAGCATTCATATTTACCATTTTGACGAGTTAGACGCTATGCGTGAGAGATTGGTCCATCGTGCTACAATCACAAGCGTAGATGGATGGCGATTGTGGCGCTAGGATCGGCGTTCTGGGCTGCCGATTTGACGCGAGCACAGACCACCTGTCATCCTGCGACACTGCCATCCCCAATGCCATGACCTTTGCAAAGGATCAAAGGATCAATTGTCCTTCTTCTTGCATAATGCAATTCTCGGCCGGTACGCTATACTTGGCAACGGGAATCAAGGGCTAACCGTCTCGCGCAGCTTTGCCTTTTTTTTTTTGCGTGAAGTGATGGAGGCGGGGAAGTCGAGGTGGTGAACGAGCAGTGGGTTTAGGTCAGGCTTGTCAAGATCTGGCAAGGGCTCTTGGAGTCCGGGTGGCCTATAATGGCCGGCGAAACAAGAGTGGGCAAAAAACGTTTCTGAGGCCACAGCTTCTTACTTCGTCGTGTTCTCACATTCGATAGCTGACAAGCATCATGTCGACATGGCCACCGGGTCTCTCGAGGATAGCCATGTCGCCGTTGGTGAGTCGACACATTTACAATCCATGCAACCCCACCGTCCATGTCCGTCATGCTGACCGAGGTTGATCGGTGTCAGGCAAAACACGTTTCTCGAATGTCACGGAGCCTTGGCTCGATGCTATGCACACGGAACGGGCGCATGAGCGTGAAAATGGAAACGGCCCGGGTACGAAAGCCAAATATTGCCGGCGATGCACGTGTGTCTTTCGGTGTTGGTGGGTGGGGAGGTGGCGAGGTGGCGATGAGGATGTGACAATGATGGCAGAGTTTGGTCAAGTGTGAACGATTCCAAGTTGAAGTGTCCATGTATAAAATTTACGTATTAGAAAAGGATGAGCCATCGCAGACAACTCACGGCCATCCTAGTCCTCGTCCTCGAGCAGTTTTACCTACATACTACTCGGCACACTCGGCCCGTAGCCGGCAACCTGCCCCGATCGATTAACCATCTTGGCCATTGTCGTCACGTCAACGTCAACCGTCATGATGCGTTCCGGCCACGCCAACCCCAACGGCAACCCCAATGCCAATGCCAATGCCCACGGGTCCCAGGCACAGTCGCAGTCACAGTCACAGTCACAGTCACAGTCGCCAGTCATTCCCGCCGCTGGCACTGGTGCCCGGTACCACCACTCCAGACGCCTGTCCAAGGCCAAGGCCAAGGCCAGCAGAATTCGAATCCGTACGCGGCCGCCGTTCAGCACGTCCATCGTATCCACGAGGCCACCGCCCGCCAGCTCAACCCCTACCTCCTCCACCAATACCAACACCAACACCAACACCAGCATCACCAGTATCTTGCTGCTCCGGCCGCCTCCGCTTCCCCTGTCCCGGTGCTCGATGGATCCGCCAATCCTGATCCGCGGCTCGCTGGCTACGCGCCACCCGCACCGCCCTTGACGTATGCTCCACCCACACCGCCGTCAGCATCGTCTGCCTCGCCAGCAGCAGCTGCTGCTGCAGGACCTGGGCAGCAGCAGCAGCAATACCATCCGCACCAACCCCAGCAACCTCAGTTTGCACCTTCGCCCCTCGGCTACACCTACGCTTCTCCCTTTGGTGGCCCAACGTCAACGTACGGCGGTGGTCCTCAGCCCCCGCCGCCGCCACCCGATCCCGCAGACTACATCAACGTCAACAGCCCAGAGTACCACTTTGCTCTTGCCGGCTATGCCGCCACCAACTCGGCCAATGCCGCCACCGCTTACTCCCACTCGCTGGCCCTCAATCAGCACAACCAGCACACTCAGCACCAACAACAGCACCACCAGCAGCATCCGTATGAGCAGGCCATGTACAATGCAGCTGCCACGCACAGCCCGTACTGGCCGCACCTCGTCCCGCCGCCCAACTTGGCCAACATTCAGTTCTACGGCCAGCCCCAACACCAGCACCAGCAGCACCAGCACCAGCAGCACCAACAACAAGCATCCGCCACACAGAATGCCAATCCACACGTCCTCAATCCATACACGAGCGCATACCAGCACCAGCATTATACCCCGCCGACCTCCAGCCCCAACCCCCTCCCCACCACCAACACCACTTCACCCACCAGCAAACCCACCACGGCGTCCACCCGTACGTCTCTGCCGGCGCCGCAAACTCGAACAGTGCAGGGACTGCATCCAACCCGGTGGGTGCAGTTGGCACGGGCCGGTCGCCCGGACCCCGACGGCCCACGGGCGCGCCGCCGCCCATTGCCATTCACTCACCATCGGTTGCCGCGGCCGCACATGCCGATCCTGCAGTCACACAGCCGCCGCAAACCCCGTACTATGCGCCGCTCACGGGCTACCCGGGTCCCCTCAACTAAGCCCCGCGGGCTCGCCGCGCGTCACGCAACACAACATCATGTCGCCGATCCTTGGGCCGGGTGCAAATTCAGGCGCCACGCCGCTCATTGGCAACCCTGGTGGAGGCGGCGCCGGCGGAGCAGCTGCCACAACGCCCGCCACCCCCGCGGCGGGGGGCAAGCAGCCCGGCGGCAATGGCGCGGCCGCCAAACTGCAGCAAGTCCCACCCGGTACCGTGATTGGCGGCACACGCCCGCAATGGTCGCACGAGCAGCAGAATACACATGCGGGCCTGTCGCCCACATCGGGCGCAACGTCGCCCATGCGCGACTCGGGCATTGCCGGCGTCAACCCACACTTTCGCCTCGGCGGGCATCCGCCGCCAGATTCTGCGCTGCTGTCAAGTTCGCTGGGCGGGTCGGCCATTGTGGACGACACGAGTTCCGCCGCGTCTGGCGCATCGGGCGCAGGCCTTGTCTGCATGTACCCGCGGTTTCAGATTGGCCCGCGCATCGGGTCGGGCTCGTTTGGGTGCGTGTACAAGGGGTGGCATCTCAAGCGCAACGTGCCAGGCGTCCAACTGGACGAGTCGCTCGGGCCCGTGGCCATCAAGGTCGAGCCCGTCACGGACGACAAGGGCCAGCCTAGAACGCCAGTCAATGGCCTATTGCCCGCAGAAACGGCCGTGCTTGTTGCCATGAGCGGCAAAACAGGGTTTCCGACCGTGTTTTGGTACGGCGAGTTTGGCGTGCCGCAGCCCGTCACGGAGACGGCAAGTGGCGGCAGTGGGTCGTTGATGAGCGGGATCAGCGAGGAAAATCCACAAGCACCGCCGCCCTTGCGCATGTATCGCGCACTCGTCATGGATGTGCTTGGTCCTAGTTTGCAGGACTTGTTTGACAAGTGTGGGAAAAAGCTCAGTGTCAAGACCGTGTGCATGATTGCCGACCAAATGCTGTGTCGCTTGCAAGAGCTGCATTATGCAGGGTTTTTGCACCGCGATTTGAAGGTTCGTTTTGCTGCTTTGCTTTAGTGTAGTGTCTTGGCCACTCACACACTCACTCACACACTGTCGCTTTTCATTAGCCCGAAAACGTACTCA